ACAATCACGTGCCGTAACCTTATTTACATCTCGGCGACCTTGACAATAATTGAGCTGGCCTTAACAAATAGATTTAGCCAGCCTATAACATTTATCAAGGCGCTATTATGGAGAAATAGAGAGAGAGAGAGGTGGGGGTAATACCAAACGGACACAGCCCATGTCATTTCGGGACTAACATATGATTCAATTTTTATTTCACGAATTCGCTTCCGCGTTCGGAATCCGGAGAAAACTCACGAGGTTGGACCGGCGACCCTACCCCATGTCATGTAAGGCCTACAAGCTGGGAATCAAAACCATGCCACTAATTGGACTGAATGACAGACCTTTTGACGAAAAATCTAAGAGGTTTAGCGGTGTAAACATTGGCGACTAAGACAGGGAAACACAATGATTACGTCACAGAGATTACCAAGAAATATTTATAATATGAATTATTCAACGAACTAACTAGAGTGATTATAAAATCATAATAAACGTATGTTTTGTAATAATACGATCGCTTATTAGTTAGGCCAAATCAATTTGATTTTCTGTTCTTTGGGAACTCCTGTAAAAATTGTCCTTGTTATTTCTTCAGGAAAAGAGAGAGAGAGAGAGAGAGAGAGAGAGAGAGAGAGAGAGAGAGAGAGGTTTAACGTCCACTCGACACAAACTAGGTCATCTCGGGACTAGCATATGGTTTAATTTTATTTCAATAATTCGCTTACGCGTAGGGGTGTTTAGCAGTGGGAGGAAACCGGAGGACCTTGAGAAAACCCACGAGGTTGGACAGACGACCCTACTCCTTGTTAGCACGTGCTAACCTTTCGGCCATCCAACCCCTTTCTTCGGGAAAAGACTTATTTAGTTCAAAGGATTTAGTTCCAAATTTTTAAGTTTAGAAATTTTAAATGAAATATATTTCACGTGATTTAAATGGCTATTTAATTATCAAGAACACGAAGACCCGAAAATCAAATTGGTATGGCCTTATAATAATAAACACTTTTATAGACCAAAAACCTTAAAAAGTTACTTGTAGAAAATCGTCCATTTCTCTGCTACCGTACAAGTTAGAAACCATTTGTTGATATCTGTATGATCGTATGGGTTCATTCTATTTGTAAATCAAATTGGTCTGGCCTTAGGTTTAGCACGTAACAATAGGCAATTGAATTTAATTAGGCTACACAATAAGCCAGCTTTTGTACTACTGTAAAATAATGCAAGCTAATCGTACATGGGTTAACCGTTCTGCGTGGATAATCGCAGAAATTATTATATCATTATTGTGTGGAAGGGGAGCTGCGGTGGCTCAGCGTGTAGGAAGTTTGATCGCTTGCCTGGGAGTCTCGGGTTTGCTCCTTGTGTTGACCAAGAAAGTTCCACGGGATTTCCCGACTTGGTTTTCCCTTGTCGGTGGTGCAGGACGGAGGGTCTGACGAGAACAGCTCTCTAGTCGTTCGGGTGGTACCAAAAACCGAGGTCGCGTGTACACATCGGCGTGTACGTAAAAGATCCCTTGGTTGTTGGTATTCGAAATGAAATGAAATGGGGTTTAACGTTCTACTGTTCTGCTCCTAAACTGGGCTAATGAAGACGGGCATACGCCATACAGTGGTGCTATGAGGGAAATTTTGCCCGGACAGTGGCACTACGGCCTACTCTTATATCGAATTCCAACTGCCAAGAGTGGTTTGCACATGTCAGTGGTGCAGGACGCAGGGCCTGGTAAGGAGAAAAGTAGGACGTTAGCTCATAGTGACACCAGTCAGCGTTAAACATCCATTTTATTTCATTTTATTTAAAGATCGATAAATTATTAACTGGTGTAAGAAAATAGGCTATAACATATTATATACACAGTTAACAATATTTATTATCTTCGCTTATACATAAAATAATAGCATAGACTACTTGATTTCACTATGTTATGTTTAAAGTGGCATTCGTCGATATAAATCAGAATAATCTGTTATCAATAATCAATCAGTCATCGATTTACTAATTGTTGAATATTCATAACAATTTAGAAATTCTAGCAGATTAAGTCATGTTACTAAGCGGGGGGGGGGGGGGTTAACGCGTGCGCATTATATCATAAGGTCTGCCATTGAGTCAAGTGGCATGGTTTCCAGTCTCGCTTGTACGTGACAAGGAGTAGGGTCGCCTGTTCAATCTCGTGGGCTTTCTCTGGCTCATCCTACTGCTAAAGACAACTGGCAGTTGGGAATTCGATATAAGAGTACACCATAGTGCCGCCGCCCGGGCAAAATTTCCCTCACAGCACACTGTATGGCGTATGTCCGTCTTCATTAGCCCAGTCGGAGCAGAACAGTAGGACGCTAAGCCCAATATTCATTTCATTTCTTGTATAATGTATGTTTAAATATTTTGACTACTATATAAATCTTGTAACTGTCAAGGGTTATTTTACGTGCACGCTAAAGTGTACACGAGGTGTCGGTCTTTCGTCCCACCCGAATGACTATACGTTGTTCCTAGCCAAGCCCAACAACAGTGCTACTTTAAATATTTTACCATGTCCAGAGTATATAAATCTACTATCTATATACAATCTCTCCATGTCAAGTGTTATGTCAATATAAAGAATAACGCGGAGGTATATTGATCATACGAAGCTTAAGCTGTCTGTCTACAATTAACTCCCCTAGAGAACAGACATGAAGCTAGTTGACCGACATTTTAATTCCTCCAAAATATGAGTATACTTCGAGAATATCGCAAAGTATTCATTCTACTTCCATTTAATAAAATGTACAATGTTTATTTAGTCGTTATGTGTATGAAAAGATGTAACGTGGATTAGAGCCGTATTACAAAATAGTATACTTATATTTGAATATGGTGGCCATTCAAGGCAGAAATCTATTCTCATAGAAGAGAGTTCTCTGTGTGGATAAGTGCTATGTCAATATAAGTAATAAGATGGCGACCTTTACTCCACCACAAATGTCAACTTGATATTCCAAAACTGCTTTAATTTATTTATATTTTTTTAATGAAATGAAATGGGATTAAACGTCCTACTATTCTGCCCTGATTGGGGTAATGAAGACGGGCATATGCCATTAAGTGTGCCATGAGGGGAATTGTGCTCGGACAATAGCGCTACGGCTTACTCTTATATCGAATACCAACTGTCAAGGGTTCTTGTACGTCAATGTGTACATGGGACCTCAGCTTTTCGTACTATCCGAACGACTTGCCAGGCTCTCCGACCTACACCACTGACAAGGGGAAACCACACCGGAAAATCCCAATGAACTTTCTTGGCAAACACAGGGATCGAACACGGGACCTGCAGGTTAACGAGCCAACGTCTTTCTCACTTAGCCACCGTGCCCCCCCCCCCCCCCACACAGTCAACACAGGGATCAAACACCCGACCTCCAGGTTAGCGAGCCAACGTCTTTCTCACTTGGCCACCGTGGCTCCCCCCCCCCCCCACAGAGTCAACACGGGGATCGAACACCGGACCACCAGGTTAACTAGCCAACGTCTTTCTCACTTAGCCACCGTGGCCCCTTTTTATTTTTTTTAATATAATTTTGTTATTCAAGCAGTAAAGGTATGTGTTTTCAAGGGAAACTATGTCGATATGAAACTCACAAAGTCAAGACACGAATGAAATGGAATGGGGTTTAGCGTACTACTTTTCCTCACCAACCGGGCATATATGCGATGCAGAGTATGCTTACAATGGGTGAAAGTTTGCACAGCAGTGGCGTTTCACCGAATTACAACTGCCAAGGGTTCTTTAACTTGCACACCAACGTGTACACTAGACGTTGGCTTTTCGTCCGCCGGATGGACTAAACTCTGCAGAGAAACTATCATGTTATGGGGGGGGGGGGCTGAATGGTTAGCACGGGCGCGCTGTATCAAAAGGTCTGTCCTTGAGTCAACTGGCGTGGTTCCGAATCCCCGGTTGTACGTGACAAGAATTAGGGTCGCCTATCGAACCCCGTGGGTTATCTCCGGGTCCTCCGGTTTTCTCCCATTGCTAAAAAATTATGTGAATAATTGAAATAAAATTAAACCTTATGTTAGTCCCGAAGTGGCCTAGTTAGTGTCGAGTGGACGTTAAACTCCATTTCTCTCTCTGTCATTTTATGCTCATCACGAGACGTTAAACCCCATTCCCGTCCTTTCCTTATATTCATCCATTCCTGAGTTCACATTTTACTTAGAGTGTAATTGCAGATCTTTGTTCTAGATTCAAATGTTATATAAATTATTATTACATTTATTCACATGATAAGCCTATAATCAACTCGCTAGACCATCGGATTGCTTGGATATTGAATAGATTAGAACGTTCTCGCCATCTTAGAATTGGACGATAAAATCGATAATCGAGACTTTATTTATTATCGCAGAAATGACACATGACAATCGAGACTATCTTGTCAAAACTTCAAACACTGACACTTTGGCTCATATTAGGTAATTTGACTGAAATTTTCAATATATTCATTTTATCATTAAATCAATAAATGGCGCGGATGTTCTTATCCATTCATTATCATTACCATCCGATGGTGGAGAAAGTTGATTATGAGCTAGTGCAAATAAATGTCTAAATAATACAAATATTGAAGCCCAATAAATTCTCGGATTATCCACTGCCCACGTTTTTCTTTCCGTGGTTTTTAACTCAGAAACTGTTGCCCCATCCAGTTTATCAACATATACATGATCGCTCACTAACGCTGGGAGATTAGGCAATCGTCGCGTGCTACCTTTGACGTCACTCGAGCCGGCATCACTAATCGTCGGCTTGCCGGTTAGGGTAACCCTTACATGTTTTGCGCTGTGTGCACTCCATGGGTGTTTTTCTGGGAATCCAGTGTTTTTCTAGTAAGATTGGATGTTTCTACTTTCCATATATATACCAAAATTGCCATACTTTTATTGGAAATAACCACCCGATAAATACTTTTCTGGGAAAGTATCTTTAATCTCTACAATATTCTTTCTATGTTTTACAGATGTAATGGAAGTTGATTGTTGAACAGATCTGACCAACCATGTTGGAGCTGGACGAGAATGCCTGGGGGCACATGCACCAGGCGGCTTATAGAGGTTTTCTTAAATCATTGAAAAGATTCGTGGAGGAAGATAGTTCTGCTTTGGAATCGGAAACCAACGATGACTTACGGGCTACGCCTTTCCTTTTAGCCGTTGCTAGTGGCAATCTTGAAACTGTCGAGTGTCTTCTAGAACTTGGCGCTAAGATCGAAGCTATAAATAATCAAAATCATGGCGCGGTGGAGATATGCGCTCTAAAAGGATACACTGAGTTATTAGTATATTTTTTAAATAAAGAAGACGAAAAATTACCCGTGTGGAAGAAGCTTATACAATTTCTTGGTTCTGATTTGGAGGAGGAGGCCGAGGCATGTGGCAAATCTCTCCAACAGTTAACTGATCCTTCCGGTAGCCATTACAAAAAGCATCGTGAACAACTTTACAATAATGGCGTCGTTCCAGCCATTATTAAAATGGTGGGATCCACGATAGCAGATCATGTCAAGGGACCAACCATTACGTGTCTTATCAATATCTTAGAATCAGACGACGTACAGGATCAGTTCGTAAACAGCGGAGGAATACAAACATTTGTTAAACAGTTAAAATCCACGAATGAAACAGTAGTACGACTAGTCGCCATGGTACTGGAAAAGCTCACAGCAAAACACACCGACTTGGTGGTCAAGCATCAAGCAGTGCCCGTTCTTCACAAAGTCATTCAAACAATTAAAACCACTGAAGTTCTAGTACCCGTGTTAAAAACATTATCAAATATCGCCAAAGGAAACCCTGTTAATCAAAAATCAATCGGAACTACACCGGGATTTTTCGATCATCTCGTGCAGCTAGCGAGAGACAACACAGATGCGCCATTATTGGTGGGTCTGACAGAAGCAGTTGATAATATTGTTCGGGATGAACGAAGTAATCAGAATGCATTTATCGGCGTCGATGGCACTGAAATTCTGATGGAAGCTTTAGTACGCCATGCCCGAAGTAAAGATGTACTGTTGAACACTGTAAGCGCTATACATTCTCTAGCTGAGAATAATTTAGCTGCGCAGGACCACCTGTCTGACCAAGGTGTACAGAAACAGCTCATGAATATGTTGAAGAAAAGTCGAGCTGATGAATTACAAGTAGGTTGATTGAGTTCTATGTTTATCGCGGATTGTACGTACCCTTTCTGGCGCGTGTCCAAATGGCGATCATGGATGGGGGCACATTTTTCTTCCACATTCATCGAAATAACCTCAAACAAACAAATGTGCGAAACATTACTGCCATTTTGGTCCCACTCCAGTCCATCTAATTAACAGAAACTTTTATATTTGCATTTGGGGAGGTTGGATGTCCGAATGTGTAGCACGCGCTGCATCATAGGGTATGTCATTGAGTCAACTGGCGTGGTTTCCATTTTTTTTTTCATTTTTATATTGGGAGGTGGTGGATGGGGGGCTGGTCGAATGGTTTAAATCATCCGCGTTAAATCACAAGGTCTGTCGTTGAGTCAACTGGCGCGGTATCAACTCCCCGGGTTGTACGTGACAAGGAGTAGCCTTGCCTGTCCAACCGCGTGGGTTTTCTCCGGGTCCTCCGGTTTCCTCCCACTGCTAAAGACCCCTACGCTCAAGCGAATAATTGAAATGAAATTGAACCATATGTTAGTCCCCAAATGGCCTATTTTGTGTCGAGTGGACGTTAAACCCCATTTCTCTCTATATATATATTTGCATTTTGCAGTCTTGCATATCCACTGGGATGGTACCTAATCATCTAATGTATGTAACTTTACTTGTTCTAGGAAAAGACCGGTATGGCTCTCTGGGCATTGGCAGGTGATGACGTGGACAAACAAAGAAAAATGGCGGAAGGAATTGGTGTGACCAATCTGATAGAATTTCTCAACTCACAAAGAGAGAATCTTCATTACATCAGTTCAGAAGGACTATCTGTTCTGTCACAGGGACCGTTGAGTCAGTACGACGAAATAAGAAAGGCGAACGGAATTCAGCCGTTGATACGCTTATTAAATTCGGACAAGGACTTTGACCATATTATACTCAGTGTTGTTCGAACGTTACGATATTTAAGTGTTGGTATAGGTAACGTACCTTTCCAAGCGAATCAAGAAGCCATAGATAAATATGGCGGCATAGCAAAGCTCTTACAGTTAATGGTTTATGGTAAAGACGAGATGATTAAAGTTGAAGCAGCCTTGACGTTAGGCCATGTAGCCCTGGGTAAGTGACAGGGAACATTGTAGCTCTGGCTAAGTCCTTAATTTAAAAGGGTAAGTGACAGAGAGCAGTGTAGTTCTGGGTAAGTCCTTTTATGAGCCTTAACATTAGACTATGTAGCTCTGGGTAAGTCCTTTTATGAGCCTTAACATTAGACCATGTAGCTCTGGGTAAGTCCTTTTATGAGCCTTAACATTAGGCCATGGCCATGTAGTTCTGGGTAAGTCCTTTTATGAGTCTTATTATTAGACCATGTAGCTTAACATTAGGCCGTATAATCCCGTGACGAAGTTACGTTTCGGATATTGAAATGATTCACGTCCCGCCCTTCCGGTTTTGCGTCCAGAGCATAGAGCATAAAGCGTACAATATATCTTTATGACAATGAGTAAAGTTGAAGTAGCCTTAACGTTAATTCATGTAGCACTGGGTTAAGTCCTTTTATTATCTCCCACGGAAGTTAAGTTAGAAATGAAATGGGGTTTAACGCCTTACTGTTCTCCCCAAACTGGACTAATAAAGACGAACAGTGGTGCTACGGCCTACTTTTGTTTTTTATCGAAATGGGGTTTAACGTACTACTTTGCTGCACTGACTGTTCTAATGAAGACGAGCATACGCCATACAGGGCCTCAGTTTTTCATCCTATCCAGACGACTAGACAGCTCTCCTTGTCAGGAGAACTGCCCTACACCACTGACAAGGGGGAAATGAAATGGAGTTTAATGTCCTACTGTTCTGTTCCGAACTGGGCTAATGAAGACGAGCATACGTCATACAGTGTGCTATGAGAGAAATGTAGCCTGGGCAGTGGCACTATCGCCTACGTTTATATCGAATTCCAACTGCCAAGGGATCTTTTACGTACACGCCAATACATACACGGGACCTTTTACGTACACGCCAATATATACACGGGACCTTTTACGTACACGCCAATATATACACGGGACCTTTTACCTTTTAGAATATGCCTCTGATCTTTTATTTCAGGACGAGACAATATATTAAATAAAATCCACGCTACCAATGATTTTAGTTATATACGTATTTTAAAGATGATGTATGCCAAGGAGGATATGGTTCGATTATTAGCTGGTTCAGCATTAGCAACATTTGCTTATAATAATATCAGTCAACAGAAAGAGATATCGGAGCAAGGGGGTGTCAGGTTTAACTGTTTTGTACCATTTTTAAGATCTACAGATGAATTTTATCGTTGTAATGCAGCGTTTCAGGTAAATATTACCATACAATATAGAACTATTCAAAATATTAATTTTCCGACGTGGTGCAGGACGGAGGTCCTAACAAGGACAGCTGTCTAGTCGTTCGGATGGACCGAGGACCCGTGTATACATTGGCGTGCACGTAAAATATCCCTTTGCAGTTGGAATTTGATATAAGAGTAGGCCATAGTGTCGCTGCGTGGGCAAAATTGCCCTCATAGCACACTGTATGGCATATACCCGTCTTCATTAGCCCAGTCGGGACAGAAGAGGAGGACTTTAAACCCCATCAATTCATTTCATTCCATTGCATTTCAAAATATTAACATACTATATACAATTATATAGGAACAATTACCATGCTATGTACAATTAGATAGAAACAATTGCCATTCTATGAACAATTAGATAGAATATATTACCATGCTGTAAACAACAATTAGAGCCCAACCTAGTGGGTCTTCTCCGTATCCTCCGCCCCCCGCCTCTCCCCCGACTGCTTAAGACTCCGACGCACAAGCGAATTATTGAAATAAAATTCAACCATATGTTAGTACCGAAATGACTTAGTTTGTGTCGAGTGGACGTAAAACCCCATTTCTCTCTCTCCGTATCAATTTTCACAGACAGTTTTAAAAATTATTCTCCCACCCCCCCGACTTTTTTCAGGTCGTGATATTATCATTAATTATACCTGATGAAGAACAAGCTACGTCATCTGCTGTAGGTATAAAACTACTGGTGGAGCTGTTACAAGAATCAAAGTCTGATCATATCCTAGCATTAGCAGCTGATTGTATAGCAAGACTAGCACACACCAGAGCTGGTAAGATTCATTACAACTTTTGCCCTATGCTGGCAGGGGGGGGGGGGGGCGAACTGTTGGTGCGTACGCGCTGTATCATAAGATCATAAGGTCTGTTATTGAGTCAACTGGCGTGGTTTCCATTCCCCGGTTGTACGCGACAAAGAGTAGGCTCGCCCGTCCATCCTCGTGGTTTTTCTCCGGGTCCTCCCCCCTCCACTGCTAAAGACCCATACGCGCAAACGAATTATTGAAATATTATTGAACCGTATGTTAGTCCCGAAATTACCTAGTTTGTCGAGTGAACGTTACCCCCCCCCCCCCTCTGTCTCTCCCAAATTATATCGCCTGTCCAACCTCGTGGGTTTCCTCCCACTGCTAAAGACTCCTACGCGCAACCGTATTTTTGAAATATTGAACCCCATGTTAGTCCCGAAATTACCTAGTTTGTGTTGAGTGGATGTTAAACCCCATTTCCCCATTCATTTTAGAATGGGTACCAGGTTTGGTTTTGAAACATCCGTATAGGGAGGTTTTCGTATTATAGAGCAATGTTTTTTTTTATATTTATAGGTGTACCAGCGGCTATAATAGCTATAAAAGGTGTAGATTATTTGTTTGATCTGTTAGATTCAGCTTCTGTATTAGTTGAAGGTTGTGCTTCTATAGCATTATCTTATTTATCGTACAATCATACAGGTGAAAGGCGGCTTTTATACAGGTAATGTGGCATATTTATCTCCAAATAAGTTTAATCTTGAAATAACTGGCTTCGAAATTAAACATGCATTATGCAAGAGCTAAATCTGCCTATTGCAGGTCTTTCTTTAGTCCTGAAATGTTTTCTAAAGTATTAATTAGACATTAATTAACTGATCCAGGCCTTAACCAACTCTCGGTGGCATCAGATTTCTCCGATATTAAATAGATTAGAATGGTTCAGCGATACTTTGATTTAATCAAATATGGAGGACCGAGACTTAGCTTCGATCAACCAGTAAGGTGGTTGAAATTATTGCACACGTCTGTCAAACCTTCAAAGGCTAATATCTTCGCTTGCAATAGAGTAATTTGAATGAAATTTTCAAATTATTCATTTTACATCAGACTAAAAGAATACATTATATAAATCCTGTTGTTTTTACAGATGTCGAAGTGATCCATACTTGAAGAAAGTTTTAAACAAATATACCAAAAAAAATCACCGTCTATCCGAGGCTTTTATTGAGGGATGGAAACACTCAAAACGTGTCGGTTTACCACCTATACCGTAAGTAATTTATAGATAATTTTATCAATCTAATTCAAATACAGATCTATATTTCGATTCGTTTTTTTATACTTTCGATGACCTACACTGCACTGATTTCGGTCTTTGTTCTTTAAAATTGAGGGGGGGGGGGGTGGCTGAATGGTTAGCACGTGCGCGCTGTATCATAAAGCCTGTCATTGAGTCAACTGGCGTGGTTTCGAATCCCCGGTTGTACGGGACAAGGAGAAGGGTCGCCTGTCCATCCTCGTGGATTTTTTCTGGGTCCTCCGGTTTCCTCCCACTGCTAAAGACCCCTGCGCAAGCAATTTATGGAAATAAAATTGAACCATTTAGTCCCGAAATGACCTAGTTTGTGTCGAGTGGACGTTAAACCCCATTTCTCTCTCTCTCTTTAAAATTGTGGTGGTCGTTGGGTGGGGGTGGGGGGTCTGCCTATGGATAATTTCATATAACTTGTTATGTGGGAGGGAAGAGTTATCCAAAATTGATAACATCATTTGTCTTTTGGATTTCTGTGCGGTGCGGTTCTGCGGCACAGAGACAGCAATTCTAAATTATTAATTTAACAAAATGCATAAAATATAAAATTTATAATTTCAGAGATGACCGAATAAAACGAGTTGAAATTAACGACGATATTCCTTTAGCAGATTCCCCTAACGACACGAGCGGTGTAGACTCTTCTACTACTCATATAGATGAAACGCCATTGACCGACAGATCGGCTAGATCCTCTCGTACAGCATACAGATCCAGTACCTTTCACGATAGTCAATCTTCACTTCCTACAACTTCTAGAACACACAGCAGTATATCCCAACAAGATATGGTTGCTCAAGAAAGTTGACGTTCGCAAACAGAAGAGAAAAACATAAGGGTGATAAATCTAATCTAATGGTTTGATTGGGTCGACAGACTTTCATAAATTCCAGGGGCGGGCGGGTATTTTTGGAAATTGCTGTATCCTAGAGTCATTTTCTAGTATATATGCAGTCTTGAGTCGACGTCTTCTTTCACCCCTCAACTGATCCGCAGTAAATATTCGCAAGGCCAACAAAAACGTTGAGAACTATAGCCTGTAATACAAAAAACTCTTACAGATTATATGTAAAATAATGCCAAAGGCGACAATTAAAAGAGTTATTCTGAGAATAATCTAATCATCAAGACGAATACCGGCAAAGTCCAGCATTTTATATTTAAAACAGGTAGGCATGCGTGCAAGGATCGTGTTTCGTGCCATTATTAAATTCTTATTTCATCTCTAATCGAAGTAATAGAACCGTTCGACACAAACTAGATCATTTCGGGACTAACATAGGTTTCAATTTATTTCAATATTTCGCTTGCGCCTAATAGTCTTTAGCAGTGGGAGGAAATCGACGAACCCGGTGAATACCCGGGAGGTTGGACATGTGGTTCTACCCCCGGTCACTTACTACCTGGGAATCGAAACCTCTCCAATGGACTCAATGACAGACCTTATGATTTAAAGTGCAGACGAGAGAGAGAGAGAGAGAGAGTTTAACGTCCACCCGACACAAATTAGGTAATTTCGGAACTAACACACGGTTCAATTTTATTTCAATAATTCGCTTGCGCGTAGGGGTCTTTAGCACTGGGAGGAAACCGGAGGACCCGGGGAAAACGCACGAGGTTGGACAGGTGACCCTACTCCTTATCACGTACAACCAGGGTTCAAAACCACGCCAGATGACTCAATGACAGGACTTATGATACAGCGCACACGCGTTAGATCATTCGACCAAACAAACGAGATGATAATATATATTAAGAGATTTATTTTTTTCCCACAATGTTTTTAATATCATTATCATCACCATTTTATTATATACATTTTATCATTCATATATACATAGTTTTAGATAACTATTCTAATCAATTTAGTCATTTAGTAATTGAACATTTTAACCAGCAACGTACAATTTTATGGATTCACATTAGTTGATCAGCGTTCCGAGGAGGTTAAACGTTGAAGAAGAAGGGATGGGCTTTAACGTCCACTCGACACAAACTAGGTCATTTTGGGACTAACATATGCTTCAGTTTCATTTCAATAATTCGCTTGCGCGTAGGAATCTTTTGCAGTGGGCGGAAACCCGAGGACCCGGAGAAAACCCACGAGGTTAGACAGGCGACTCTACTCCTTATCACGTACAACCGGGAAATCGAAACCACGCCAGTTGACTCAATGACAGACCTTATGATACAGCGCGCACGTGCTAACCATTCGGCCACCCAACCCCCCTCGTCAAAACGACACCTTATAGTAATAGTTCCAGTAATTGTATATCCATAAAATTGTACATTGTGTATTATAATAAACTCCAAAGATGCTTGCATTAATTTAACCCCGAATTGTATTTATTTTATTATATTAATCTAATCAAAATAATATTATCTATAATCTAATATACCTCTATTAATTTTTGTATACCAGTATTCCACAAATGTTATTAATACCAGTATTTTTGTATACAAACTAACCTGGAATTTGTTTGCATCAAGTTTGTAAATAAAACTCTACCATACATCATGATGTTTTTGTGTAAACTATTTAAATGGCATTTAACAAAGCCCCCGTCAGACAGGGGTAGCGTCCTTACTGTGCCATGTTTGCTTTCCTATCGTTTCTTGCATACGATTTCTTGTTTAGCGTATCTTTGCTTTAGTGTTACGTTTAATTTGATCGGGAGACGTGTTCGTCGACGTCAACGGACAACACTTCAAGAATTGGCCGTGGCACTGCAAGAGGAGTGGGTCCAGGGGTCGGCCCGGGCTCCTGTGTCGGAGCGGCCCCTTTTACTGACCGCCGAGCCCTGACGGGGGGTCGGGGACCCTCACCCTGTAAAATTTTGAAAAATGAACCCCAATTATGTGATTTGGTGACATATCTGATTATACTCTGTCAAATAATATATCTCATAAATCGATTAATTTTGGCCAAAACCCCGACCTGCAAGTAATTTACAACCATCAACCTGTGAAATATCGTCATATTAATTAACATATTATTGTATCGTCAAGAGTATTTAACTGGTTAAAATTCCGAATTCCGGCCCAGAAAGTCTATTATACCAGCCCATTCCAGACTCCAGTGATGGCGTGGCGGTCCAATACCCCCCCCCCCTCATATTATGTTCAACAGAAAAAGGTTTTTTTTTAGACGAATTGGACAAAATCATTTTTTTTTCATTTTTTGTCCGACCGGCCCTTCGGTAATCGCCCAATCCGCTCCTGAGTGGGTCAGATTGCCCCAAATCGTGATTGGCGGTTGATTAGGAGCATGCCACGACGAATTGCTGAATGTCTGAGGATTGGAGCAATTACTCATTAAGACAAAAATCAAAAACGTCCATTTTCACTTTTGACAGTATCTTTGCGAGTGAAATGGGGCCGTCAGATAAGCCGCCCATATGAACTGTTTATGTTCATGAGTATACAATTGGCCTGTTGCTAACATACACTGGTTACCTCTAATAAAAACAGCAGTGCATTTCCGCATTTTTCTATTGTTTCTGAATATCCCCTACTTTTTTTGAAGAGTATATAACAACTTTTCCAGATCCTAGTGTAGAAAAGACAAATAAAACGAAAATTTAAACTATAAAAAAACGAAACGAAATAGGATCTGTGTTTTAATCAGATTGCAGAAAATCAAAAACAAACACAATTTGATGTTATGTACTTTTATCCAAATTACAGCTCATTAACACCATTTTCTAATGCCTTATATAACTGAACGTTTGTACACCTATATAAATAGTATAGTATAGCATATACATCTTGTCAAAACACAAAAAATACATATCTTCACATTACTTATGTGATTGGTAGCATAGTTTGGCCATCAAAATAAATACCACAATTTATACCACGATCAATTCATTATCAATAACCTCACAAGTTAGAAAGACCAAGAAAGCATATTCATACTTTCAAATATATTCGAATATTTCTTTTGTTAAAAGAAACCTATAAAATGTTTTCAAACCAAAATCAAAATTTTCCCTTAAATATTTCTAAAACAGATTATAACTGCCCCATTTACAAAAGGTAAAAATTTATGGATTATTGTCATTATATTCAGAAGGTAAAATTAATATTTACGGATGATAAAAAGTTTTAAATTAAGTTAATTAAAAGAATACATATTGGCTACAGTCCATCTTGCTTTTGGGGGATCAGTAGTTTAGGTTTTTCTTAGCATTCCTTAAAATATTTTTCTTCAGCACCTTAGCACTGCTCTCTCCACAGTAATGTATTAAAAAGTATGACGGATTATTTTCTATAAAACTTACAGAGAAGAAAACAGTTTGGTCTCCTTTAAACATAAAAGTAAAATAAATAGATACATTTACTAAAAAAATTATTAAACACAGCACAGTAAAAGTTAGCAAATAAATGGAATGTTTATGAAATACAAATTTAATTCATTGACTTAGACTGAGTAATATATAAGAATTTAGTAAGAAATATTAAAATTAACTTTAAAATGTTGCATTGAGATAATTCTAAGGTAGAAATCCACAGACTTTCTACCTACAAGGATATTTATCACAGCTTTATGTATGGACTAAGTACTTAAATAGACGCCATCAATTAACACATGGCCGGCAGGGTAGAAAATACAAAGAATATTATCAATTATAATTTATAATACCACCTCCAATAATTAGCAAAATGAATAGAAACATTTTTTTACTTTTTTTTTTCTCAAATATATTTTTTTTAAACATAATAAAACACCATATCCATAGGGATTGAAAATAAATGAAGCACTGTTTTATGTACAACAATTAAATGAATTCAAATATACATTGTAAGACATAAATAAGAACTGACTATTAATAAATAAATCATACATTTCCTCCAATTATGGAAAAATTACTAGCACTCATGACAATTCTCGCATCCGCAAAAGAAAAACTTTTAAACCTCAATGAAATAGATTGATTTTATACTTTGAATATAACCTCATTAATTTGAATATAACCTCATTGATTTGAATATAACCTCATTGATTTGAATATAACCTTGAATATAACCTCATGAATTTGAATATAACCTCATGAATTTGAATATAACCTCATTAATTTGAATATAACCTAATTTGAATATAGCCCCATTAATTTGAATATAACCCCATTAATTTGAATATAACCCCATTAATTTGAATATAACCCCATTAATTTGAATATGAATATAACCCCATTAATTTGAATATAACCTCATTGATTTGACATTTATCCTGTTGACTAAATTTTGTAAAGTTCCGACAATAGAGTAGCTTTTAATGTATCTACACCATCTCAAAAATGGTTGCTGTTGCTGCAGCCTAAAGATCGTGTTCACTTCTGGTACGTCAATCTTCAAATTTCGATTAAAAACTCATCTTTCCAAAATTCATTTTTGAAGTTGACAAGAAACTTCAGACCCAACGAACTTTTGTATATAGTTTTCACTTTTGTATTAGTTTTCGTATGCGCTATGAGCACGTCTTGTGGATTTGGCGCTAAATGGACATAACATTACGAAATATTATAATTAGATATTCTACACTGATTTATGTTTTTTTTCAAATTATCTAAATTTTATTCAAAGTATCGTAAAAATCAACATTTATAAACATGAGTTACACATAAATAATTTTTCAACAAATAACAAAAGCACTAAACTTTCAAAATTATTTCAACTGTGTGAGTAAAAATCAACATAAAATAACAAAATGAGCTAGTTGTGCTGTACATAATTATAAAAGTTTTAAGGACGGATTATCTCCCTTTGTTTGAATGGTATAATAAAAGGCTTTTTTTAGTATACTTTGTGCAGATTCATTTTCTTGAATTATGTACGGGTTATCTGAAAAATATTCTCAATTCCGAGCAATTCGCTTTAACATGAATCCAGGCCCGTAGCTAGCAGGGGGGAGCCCAACCAATGCCACTCAGCTTTATGGGGCACCCATACTGATGTCGTTAGCTTCGTATTGCGTCCCATGGAAAGGGTGCGGTGGGGACCCCCGCTAGCTACGGGCCTGGAATCATGGAACTGAGAGTAATCTTTAACAGATATTTAAATCATTATATGGCCAAACTTGTGTTTTTAGTATTTCTTGTCAAAGGCTTATGGTGTCTCATATTCTCAATAGCATGTTGCCAATACCAGCAAGATCGACAAAAATATTTAAAACAAAGTAGTTCCCGACAGAAATAAGGACCTTGTTGAATACTGCACATGGTACAGATGGCATCTTCTAAATAGGGATCAATTTGGATCTATAAAGAAATGAAATGAAATGAAATGAAATGAAATGAAATGGGGTTTAACGTCCTACTCTTCTGCACCTAACCTGGGCTAATTGAAGACGGGCATACGCCATACAGTGTGCTATGAGGGAAATTTTGCCCGGGCAGCGGCGCTACGGCCTACTCTTATATCGAATTCCAACTGCCAAGGGATCTTTTACGTGCACGCCAATGTGTACACGGGTCCTCGGGTTTTTCGTCCCATCTGAACGACTAGGCAGCTGTCCTTGTCAGGCCCTCCGTTCTGCATCACTGACAAGGGGAAATCACGCCGGAAAATCGAGATGAACTTTCTCGGCCAATGCAGGGATCAAACACCCGACCCCCAGGCTAGCGAGCCAGCGCCTTACCCACGTGACCCCCCGGATCTGTAAAGAAATGGAATATTTTAGGGATGTCTATATTGAATTAAAGAGAGAGAGAGAAATGGGGTTTAACGTCCACTCGACACAAACTAGGTCATTTCGGGACTAACATATGGTTTAATTTTATTTACATAATTCGCTTGCGCGTAGGGGTCTTTAGCAGTGGGAGGAAACCGGAGGACCCGGAGAAAACCCACAAGATTGGACAGGCGACCCTACTCCTTGCCATGTACAACCAGGGATTCGAAACCACGCCAGTCGACTCAATGACAGACTTTATGATACAGCGCGCGCACGCTAACCATTCAGCCATCCAACCCCCCCTATATTGAGTTAAGGAAATGAAATTTAATTTTCAATGTCACACTATTCTGCACAAATTGGGATAATGACAACGGGCATAGACTATACAGCGTGCCTGGACAGTGACTCCATGGTCTCTTATTTCAAAATTCCAAGTGTCAAGGGTTCTTTTAAGTGCACGCCAATCTGTACACAGGATCTCATTTTTTTTGCCCCATCCAAATGACTAGACACTGTTCCTTGTCAGCGGGGAAAACCACACCGGAAAATCCATAGTAACCCTCTGGTCAATTAAGGGGAGCGAATCAGACCTCCAGCATCTTATTCACTGAGTGCCTAGTATATGGTAGACCTGAATATTAAGGCCACCTGCAGATTTCGTCGCAGTCACTAGATGTAAACAGGGCTAGCACGTCCTACTCCGACTGGGCTAATAAAGATGGGCATACGCCATACAGTGTACTCTGAGGGAAATTTTGCCAGGGCAGCGGCACTATGGCCTACTCTTATATCGAATTCCAACTGCTATGGGATCTTTTACGTGCAAGCCAATGTATACACAGGACCTTGTTTTTTCATGCCATTCGAACGACAAGACAGCTGTCCTTGTCGGGCCTTCCGTCCTGCATCACCACATCGGAAAATTCAGATGAACTGTCTCAGCCAATGCAGGGAATGAACACCAGACCTCTAGGCCAGCAAGCCAGTGCCTTACCCACTTGGCCACCGTGACTCCCCTTTAGAATATAGATTAGTACAAGGGTATAACATCTAATGTACTGACCTTTTTGCTGAATTTGGTTGTTTTAATTTCAATAAATGCAGCCTGTACTGCTTTCATGTAACTCTTTCTATTGCTGAATGTCACTCTTCCTGAACCTAAAATTACACTCCATATTTTAATATTTATTTCATTTGGCAATCTGATTAAAACATATATCCTATTTCGTTTATAATAATTTAAAATTTCATTTTACTTATTGCACTACACCAGGAAGAGTTGTTAAAAACCTACATTCTAAATAGCCCGAGGGATTAGCCAAGTATATGGTCTGTTGAGATAAGAGTGTGACATGTATAATTGTCAGTAGAAATGAAATGAAATGGGGTTTAATGTCCTGTTTTGCTCCTAAACTAGGCTAATGAAGATGTGCATATGCCATACAGTGTGCTATGAGACCTTAGCAGACCTTATTGATCTAAAGGGCAGACCTTACAACCTTTCGTCCATTCACCCCCCCCCCCCCCCAGCAATATCATGATAAATAGAGAAAAATGGGGTTTAACGTCCACTCGACAAACTAGATCATTTCAGGACTAATATATGGTTCAATGTTATTTCAATAGTTCGCTTGCATGTAGGTGTCTTTAGCAGTGGATACAACCAGGGAATCGAAAGCACGCCAGTCGACTCAATGACAGACCTAATGATACAACGCACAATAGCAAACCTTTATGATCTAAAGCGCAGACCTTTAACCCTTTCGTCCATTCATCCCACACCCCCACCATATCACAATAAATATAATCTTACCTATAGGGTATCTGAGTTGATAGCTGACCTTTATGATCTAAAGCGCAGACCTTTAAACCTTTTGTCCATTCACCCCCATCCCCCAATATCACAATAAATATAATCTTACCTAACGCGCCCACCTTAAAACCGTGTGGCAATTACCCCCACCATATCACAATATAATCTTACCTAACGCGCCCACCTGTTGCAATTACCCCCACCATATCACAATAAATATAATCTTACCTAACGCGCCGCGCCCACCTGTGGCAATTACCCCCCCCCCCCCCATATCACAATAAATATAATCTTACCTATAGGGTATTTGTGTTTATCTGTATCTATTCCAGCGTAAACAACATTACCAAACAAATCATTCATAATACTAGCCAGGGCCTCGGCTGTTATCATACCATGTAGAGCACCAACAAATATAGTTTTATTAGAATCTAATCTCTGTGATGGTTGACGTACATGATTACTGTCACCCAATACCCAGGGTATAACCTGTACCTATTAATGTACAAAAATAAACACAATTCTGTTGGCTGATGTACATGATTGCTGTCAGCCAATACCTCATGGTACCTTATTAACACACAAAAACAAGAGCATCGCTAACGCAGCAATATACGTCCACATTCCTGTTTTGTTTGATATGGTCCAGTTTGCATTGAGGGTCTGTGAAATAAAACTGGGTTGTAGGACTGCTATCAGTTTAACACTTCGTTCACATTAACAGAACACAATTTTATTTTAAAACAATCGATGTCTTTATTCTAAAAGCATGGCGTTTCGAATAGGTATGCAAAGTTTCAAAAGGATCTGTTAAGAATTGCGGTCTGTAGGCAAAACACAAGACACACAAACATTAGGCGTGGCTCTGTCCCAAGGGGTCGAGCATGCACCAAAAATAATAATAGAGGTCGGCCTTAGGATTAAGGAATAAGTATAAATAGTAGCCTTAGGCTATAAGGAATAAGTATAAAAAAGTTTTCAAGATGATCGATTAAGAAATGCGGTCTGCAAGTGACACACAGACATAAAAAAAGAAAATGGGCGTAGCTCTGCCCCTGGGGGTTGGGTATTCACCACAAATAATAGGGATGTTCCTTAGGACAGAAGGAATATGTATGCTAGGTTTCAAGGTGATACGATAAAAAAATGCGATCTGTAGATGACAAACAAATAAATAAATATAATGGATGGGCGTGGCTATGCCCCTGGCGGTCGGGCATGCACCAAAAACAATAGGGATCATCGTTAGGGTATAAGCAATTCATATGAAATTTTTTCAAGACGATTAAGAATTGTGGCCTGTAGGTGACACACAGACAGAAAAAGAAAAGAAAATGGGCGTGGCTCTGCCCCTGGGGGTAAAAAAAACAATAGGGATCATCGTTAGGGTATAAGCAATTCATATGAAAAAATTTCAAGACGATTGATTAAGAATTGTGGCCTGTAGGCGACACACAGACATAAAAAAGAAAATAGCCGTGGCTTTGCCCCTGGGGGTTGGGCATGCACCCAAAACGATAGGGATGTTCCTTAGGGTACAAAGAATAAGTATGCAAAGTTTCAAGATGATACGTTAAGAAATGTGGCCTGTAGACGACAAACAAACAAATACAAAAAATGGGCGTGGCTCTGCCCCGGGGAGGCGAGCATGCACCAAAAACAATAGGGATCTTCCTTGGGGTATAAGGAATAAGTATACCAAGTTTGAAGAAAATCCAGTAAGAATTGCGCCCTGTAGGCGACACAAAGACACACGAAAAGAAAATGGGAAATGGGCGTGGCTCTGCCCCTGGGGGTTGGGCATGTACCCCAAACGATAGGGATGTTCCTTAGGGTACAAAGAATGTGTATGCAAGATTATAAGTTAAGAAATGTGGCCTGTAGACGACAAACAAACAAATACTAGAAATGGGCGTGGCTCTGCCCCTGGGGGTCGGGCATGCACCAAAAACAATAGGGATCTTCCTTGGGGTATAAGGAATAAGTATACCAAGTTTGAAGAAAATCCAGTAAGAATTGCGCCCTGTAGGCGACACAAAGACACACGAAAAGAAAATGGGCGTGGCTCTGCCCCTGGGGGTTGGGCATGCACCCCAAACGATAGGGATGTTCCTTAGGGTACAAAGAATGTGTATGCAAAGTTTCAAGATTATTAGTTAAGAAATGTGGCCTGTAGACGACAAACAAACAAATACTAGAAATGGGCGTGGCTCTGCCCCGGGGGGTCGGGCATGCACCAAAAACAATAGGGATCTTCCTTGGGGTATAAGGAATAAGTATACCAAGTTTGAAGAAAATCCATGAAGAATTGCGCCCTGTAGGCGAACCACAGACACACACACACACACACACACACACACACACACACACACACACATACATACACACACACACACACACACACACACAGACAGGGGCGACGGCATAATACGTTCACATTATGAATGTGGACGTATAAAAATAAATGTACAATTCAAAGTATAGTTTCACCAAACAGAGCCATTTTAACAGCATTAAAGGTCATGGGGCAAAGCATTGTATCACCGGGCCCCTAGCGATAAGAGAGTGAAATGGAGTTTAGCCCCCTCTCGACACAAACTAGGTAATTCGGAACTAACATATGGTTCAATTTTATTTTAATAATTCACTAGAGCGTAGGGGTCTTAAAAGGACAATAATGGTGTCAGTCATTATCACATATGTGATAGAACTGGTTAAACATTTTCCAAATATAATTTCAACACAGAGATCATTGCTACAATAGATGAGTATTGAAGGGTTCAAGAAAGGGAAGTGACAAACGCAAATGGAAAACACAAATTATCCTTCTATATAACTAACTGAAGTGACAAGTGATATTGTTCTAATATTGTATTGTTCGCAGTTTGAGTATATCGTTAATGTAGTTATATCAAATGGAGTCTTTCAGGGATATTAAATATTTTCTGTCATTAACCACACCACTTGACTCAATGATAGACCTTACAATCTAAAGCGCAAGTGTTAACCCATTTGACCAGCCATCCCCACAAAACTTGACAAATATATTTTTCAGTGTTACCTCTTTTGATCTCATTCTTCTACTGGATATTTTGTAATAATAATCTCCACTACTAAAGTCATGTGTACAAGACTGTAACAAAGCTCGGACAGATTTCTCACAATCAAACAGTAAATATACATAACCTGGAAGATAACATGCTATACAATTGTTCTAATACATTTCTCACAATCAAACAGTAAATATACATAACCTGGAAGATAACATGCTATACAATTGTTCTAATACATTTTCTATTATATTTATTATGTAAGAGAGTTTAACATCCATTCCACACAGACTGGGTCATTTCCAGACTAATATATGGTCAACGGGAGGGAAACGAAGGACACGAAGGATATCCACAAGGTTGGACAGGCGACCCTACTTCTTGTCACACGCTCAGCCATCCAACCCCCACAGAGAGAGAGAAAGAGAAAAATGAAATGAAATGAAATGGGGTTTAACGTCCTACTCTTAACCTGGGCTAATGAAGACGGACATACGCCATACAGTGTGCTATGAGGGAAATTTTGCAGGGCAGCGGCACTATCGCCTACTCTTATATCGAATTCCAACTGCCAAGGGATCTTTTACATGCATTCCAATGTATACCCGGGACCTCAGTTTTTCGTTTCATCCGAAGGACTAGACAGCTGTCCTTGTCAGGCCCTCCGTTCTGCACCTCGGAAAATCCCGATGAACTTTCTCAGCCAATGCGAGAGAGAGAGAGAGAGAGAGAGAGAGAGAAACATCCACTTAACCCTAACTAGGTCATTTTTGGACCTAATTCATTTAATATTTTTGATTAAATTTATAAAAAAAATAAATATACCATCTTTTCCAGGCCATTCAATCTTTAATGAACCAAATTTACTAAAAGCTGCTTGAAGACCAGCTGGAAAAAACAAAATAAAATATGAAAAAAATTAAATGATATCAGGTGCAGATGAAGAGGGGGGGAGGGGGATGGGGAGGGGGAGGGGGATGCAGATTTTGCAATGATATGAAGTCTGGATGGCCAGGACATTATTATTCTACTGGGATTTTTCTTTACAATGACTGATAGGTAATTTCTCTAAATATCGCGATACAGTGTAAAATACAACTTGAACTGCAAATTCAGAAGAAAAAAAAAACCTGTTCATCATTTTTATGGAAAAAAATCACGGTACACAGGTGAATTGTTTCGGCCCTACTAAAGAAAGACTTGCAATAGGTAGATTTAGCTCTTGTATAATATATGTTTAAATAGATGGGCACAATAGTTACATGTATCTTAACTAATTGACACAGTATGTAAAGGTTTGCCACCACCTGCTTTAAAATTTGTTATGATGGTGTCACTGGAACTTTATAAATTTGATCAGTATCATTTAGCGCTTTAGTTGATGAAATTTGATAACAGACAGCTTTACGGTTTGGCTACATTTAATAAAACACTTACGTTCAGTAATATCCCATGGAACTCCACCAAGAAACACTTTACAAGAATAAGTTGGATTTTTATAGGATCTTGGTGGTAACTGACCACTCCATGTACAACTAGCTTCACTCACGGCTGTTGGAAAATAAAATACATGCTCATTTAAATAATGGGAGAGAAATGGGGTTTAAAGTCCACTTGACACAAATTAGGTATTTCGGGACTAACATGGTTCAATTTTATTTCAATCATTTCCTTGCACATAGGGTTTTTAGCAGTGGGAGGAAACCAATGGACCCGGAGAAAAACCACAACGTTGGACAGACAACCGGGGAATTTGAAACCACGCCAGTTAACTCAAAGACAGTCCTTATGATACAGCACGCACATGCTAACGATTCGGCCCTTTAATTCATTTCCAATATGAAAAATTTCATACAGAATTTTAAATAGCTATCTTCATTTCAAGGACACCATTTCTCTGAAGACTGAACAAAATATTGTTTTTAAAAAAAGACAAATTTGCTGTTTATCGTATTTTAATATCTTACATGCTGCATTTCTGTGAAGTCTTGCAGCTCTATCAATGGCGTATGGATCCACATTGGTCATTAAGAAAGGATTGAAGGTCTGCCAACTACGATCTTGTAGCAAATTCATATCCTGTGTTACACTTCCAACAGCTCCGATGCCCATAGCTGTTAGGTTACTTAGTGCTGTGGAGTTTCTCATTAGATGTGTTTGTTGAGGTTGATATTGACAGAGTTGTGATGATAATTGGGTTGAGAGTTGAGTGGAGATGTCTTGTTGTTGTTGATTGTACTGTTGATTATATTGTTGCGTTAGTTGTTGATGTTGTTGTTGTTGATGTTGATTGTGAAGAACAGATGCATTTCCTCTCATTCCATTGTTACTCAAACTCAAATTATTCTAAAATAAAGTTGACAAAGCAATTACTGCAAGCCTAGAAGAACATTTGAGAAGTTTGAGATGAATCTTAATATCATGAAGCCATTTTAATTATGGCTGTACTCGCTATCATTCAATTATAACTCAAGATTTAAAAAATTGCGTTAGACATTACTAAGTTTGAGATCATTATTATATCATGAAGCCATTACAATTATGGCTCTACTGGCTATCACAGTAACATATGGTTCATTTATATTTCAATAATTTCCTTGCCCGTAGGGGTCTTTAGCAGTGGGAGGAAACCCACAAGGTTGGACAGACGACCCTACTCCTTGTCACATAAGTGGGGAATCGAAATCACGCCACATGATTCAATGACAGACCTTATGATTCAACGCACCCGTGTTAACCATTCGCTTCCGCTGCCCACCCCGTGCATTGGAGACAATGACTGAATGATTGGAACAATTTAAACAAATTTTGATAGCTTGTCCAAACTCTAAACCCGGTATCCATGTGACTTTAATAAGATAGGCTGTGATGCCATAGTAGCCCTAGTATTGGTATCATATTTAGCGCCGTAATAAAGACATCCTAATTTTGAAGATTTAAGTTGGGATTGGAACCGTCCTTGGTTTGACACACTGGAGTTCGTTCAACCATGAGGCAAGGGGTCAGACCGTTTTCTGATAATGCCTTACAGGTAGAAAGCAAAATCTATTTATAGCGTTTGGAAAACCTTTTTAAAAGTTCCTATTTACCATCATTTCATTCAATGCTGCAGCATCAGAACCCTCGCTTCCAAAGCCGCTGGTATCCGATTCACATGGTGATGGACTTCTTGTAGTTCTGTTATTTAACAAGCTGGAGTATATGATCTTTTCTACAGGTGATAAAGACGTATCACTCATGGGACTAACAGGTGATAGAGAACCATAATCACTAAAAAAAAAAACCAAACAGATTTTACATAAAACACAGACTTCGCACAAAATGGGAGAACAAGAGGTTGCCATGCAAGATACAAAAGAAATAAAATGGGGTTTTAAGTTACTATTTCCTATTGTATTTGAATTCTATTTCCTATTGTATTTGAATTCTAATTCCTATTGTATTTGAATTCTAATTCCTATTGTATTTGAATTCTATTTCCTATTCCTATTGTATTTGAATTCTATTTCCTATTGTATTTGAATTCTATTTCCTATTGTATTTGAATTCTATTTCCTTTTTTATATGAATTATATTTCCTATTTTGTTTAACGTCCTACTGTTCTGCTGCGACTGGGCTAATGAAGACGGGCATACGCCATACAGTGTGCTATGAAAGAAATTTTGCCCGCACGGCAGCACTATGGCCTTTTCTTAGATCGAATTCCAACTGCCAAGGGATCTTTTACATGGATGCCAATGTGTACATGGGACCTCGTTTTTTTCGTCCCATCCGAACGACTAGACAGCTGTCCTTGTCAGTCCCTCTGTCCTGCACCACTGACAAGAGGAAACCACGTCATAAAATCCTCATGAACTTTCTCTGCTAATGCAAGGATCGAACACACCATTCAAGATACAAACATATTTTAAGTTTAATCAAAATCGAGACAAATTGTGGCCTCTTAATAAGAGTGTCCACAAACCAGGGCTGCCGACAACCAGTATCGCAGCGCAGTTTGCGATACATATTTTGTCCGTTGCTAATCAAAAATTAAAATCTAACGTTTTTGATTCGCAGTTTACTGCGAATCATTAACATGCCTGTCATTTTAGATATTGACACAAAGATTTATCCACATTTCTCAACGCTTTCAACGTATATAAAATATCAAATAAATTTTATAAACAAAACGGAATTCTCCGCGTGACATTTTCTTCTCGAACTACCCAGACTCAATTCATTATACTATATAACAATGCTATATAATACAGGGACATAACTCTATGAATGGGGACTATTAACCCGGAAATAGGGAATGAAGTAGTACCACTCACGTTGCGAGACATGTCAATTTCGAGTAATTATATCAGTATTCAATTTGAAAAAGATTAAATTCAGTGTATCCCCCACGTATTGTAAATAAAATATAAAAAATAAATATGTGTAAACGTATTGTAAAATGAGAAATCAAAGTAAGAATTCCCGTAAACTATTATTGTTTATATCGCGTGCGTCTAGTTAATCGAGATTATTCGTAAAATACCGCATGCTTACGACTGAACAAAAATAATAACACACGATAAAAAGCAGACGAAATTGTTTTCTAACGAAGAAATAAGAAGTCACTGCCCAGACATAAGGCCTAAACAAAAGTCTACATTCATTCGGAAATGTTCACAGCTACCTGTAGAAGTGCTAAAATTCTAAAAAAAAATTTAAGAATGAAATCTAATCATTTGTTATCAATTAAAATTAAAATAATCTTGTTATTTAGGTGTTTTATGTTGAAACTGAAAAACCGCTAATCAATTTTTAAATTTGCTAATCAAATATGGAAAAATTGGACTTTTTGATTAGCAGTGCTGCTAATCATCTGTGAAAAATTACCGACAGCCCTGCCACAAACAAATATGAACATAATCCACATGAAAATTTATAAAAAGAATACAAATTGGTTCAAATTAAACCAATATCCCCTTCTCCTAAACAAAGTTCAATTTACTTCTTTGAGTACTGTCTAATTAGCAAAAGGCACCATTCATAATTTCTGAATTGACTGGAGTCAATTTTAACACTAATAGTTATTTCCCTTGATGCATCAAAGAGTTTTTAAACTTTTATTATATTGGGCACACATGACAAGAGCTTGTATTTTATAAAATGTATTATATATATATATATATAATGAAGAGGTTTAACATCCTACTTTTCCTAGATTCAATGGGACAACATGTTACAGCATACTTTTCTTGTCTCAAATTCAATGAGACTACCTCTTAAAGAGTTATTTCCCTTGTCACATCAGCAGGTAGTCCTAACATAAAACCCATGAGGTTGGACAGATGACCCTACTCCTTGTCACAAACAAGCAGGGAGTTGAAACCAAGCCACCCGACTTGCGGGTAAAATGCGAAAACATTCGGCCACCCAACCCCCCCAAAATTTTGAAACAAAAAAAAAACCACAAGATTTTATTGCATGAAATGAAATTTAACATCCTACTAATGAAGACGGGCATACACCATACAGTGTGCTATGAGGGAACTTTTGCCCAGGCAGCAGCACTATGGCCTACTCTTATATTGAATTTAAACCGCCAAGGGATCTTTTACATGCATGCCAATGTATACACGGGACCTCAGTTTTCCATTCCATCCGAAGGACTAGACAGCTATCCTTGTCAGACCCACCTTCCTGCACCACTGACAAGAAGAAATCACATCTGAAAAATCCTCATGAACTTTCTCGGGCAATGCAGGGATCGAACACACGACCTCCTGCTAACGAGCCAGCGTCTTACCCACTTGGCCCCCTATTTTATTACATACCTTGATGTACAGCTCATGGATCTTTCTCCTTTAATTGCTCTGGGATATTTGGTTGGTGTAGTAAAACTGTGTATATCTGGAGTATGACACATGTTAGCCCATTGTTCCGATGGTGAACCATTTGGTGAAAATAAATGGAAACCTAAGAAGGTACAAAAAAAATCATTGATTAAAGATGCATTATGTAAGATTTAGATAAAGGGCTGCAAGTTCCACTGTAAGAGTTTAAAAATAAATAATGTGTTGTGTGAGAGAGAGAAAGAGAGAGAGAGGGGGTTTAACCTCCACTACACTTGACACAAATTAGGTCATTTCAGGACTAACACATGGTTCAATTTTATTTCAATAATTCGCTTGAGCATTGGGGTTTTAGCAGTGGGAGGAAACCAGAGGACCCGGAGAAAACCCACCAGGTTGAACAGGCAACCCTACTCCTTGTCACGTACAACTGGGGATTCGAAACCAAGCCAGTCGACTCAATGACAGGCCTTATGATACAGCGCGCGTGTGCTAACCATTCAGTCCCCCCCCCCCACAAATATATATCTTTGAATTGATGTATCACGATTCACCTTCTCACGATTGGCGTATTGAATAGCGAGTCTCCTAATTGATGTATCGCAATTCTTTTTTGGTTTTTTTCTTCAGTGAGTAACCTTTCAAATCTAATTAACCATGTCACATATTATCCACAGGTACACAAATACTCTCAGGTATTGGTCCTTATTTTGATCCATATCAATTTTATTTTCTTTGACATCGGCAGTGCTAAATCTATCAATTATTCATTTATCCTGTTATCTTGGTAAATATTGACCTGGTTATGAATCGTGATATCGTAGCACCTGAATCGCAATAGGTATCGTATCTTGACTGCAGTGGCAATACCCAACACTAGTCCAAACAAGATTTTGATGCGAGTTTAAGACAAAATAACCAATAATACATGTATATCATTTTCAATGGTTTTTCATTTGGAGAGACAGAGAGAGAGAGAGAGAGAGAGACCATAGTCCCTTCTAGCACACACACTATATATTGGTAACATTTCCAAGGTGACAGGGTATTTTCAAGTTCACAATTTTTGAGAGGAAAGAGGGAGAGAAAGAAATAATTGAAAGAGAGAGTGTTTAACCACTCAACTCAAACTAGGTCATTTCGGGACCATCATATGGTTTAATTTTATTTCAATAATTCGCTTGCGCATAGAGGTCTTTAGCAGTAGGAGTAAACCGAAGGTCCCAGAGAAAACCCACGGGGTTGGTCAGGCGACCCTACTCCTTGCCACGTACAACCGGGGAATCGAAGCCACGCCAGATGACACAGCGCACACACACTAACCATTCGTTCCCCCCCCCCTCCAATGATAATTGCAATGAAAATAAAATGGGGTTTAAGGTCCTGCTCCGACTGGGCTTATGAAGATGGTCATATGCCATACAGTGTACTATGGGTGGAAATTTTGCCTGGGCAGAGAGAGAGCGAGCGAGAGTGAGATGGGGTTTTATGTGACTGCAGAAGCAATAATCAGTGCTAGTTGATTATATTGAATAACATTGAAGAAAATCATTTTTTATGGATGGAACAAGAGTACCGTACTTGTATTGAAGTGCGTCTGATTTACAAGGGTACTCCATAAAATAGATTACGAATCCTTCACATGGTCAAAATTAAATTTACAAGGGATTGGAAACTCTTAATGAAGATCAACAGCTTTAAGAGCATTAAGAATTTAAAGAGAAGGATATGAGAAATTTCCACCTGTGCAGGTGAGAGAGAGAGATGGGGTTTAACATTCACTCAACACAAACTAGGTAATTTCTGGACTAACATATGGTTCAGTTTTATTTCAGTAATTTGCTTGTGCAAAGGGGGGAAACCGGATGACTAAAAGAAAACCCACGAGGTTGGACAGGGGACCCTACTCTTTGTCAAGTAAAAGCGGGGGGGGGGGGTCGAAACCACTCCACCTGACTCAATGACAGTCCTTATGATCCAACGTCTTCTGGAATTAGAAATCAAATGTGTGTGTGAAGTAGCTTTATTTTATAGATTTGGTTGTTTTTGTTTCTGTGTCAGTTCTAACAAGTGAAGACCCGGCTTACCATGGACCACACAAGGAAACAATTAAGACTTTAGTCAAGAGCCTACTGCCATGACTGCTAGCGTACTGCGTCCCTTCATTATGCCAGTCTTCATTAGCTGGACAGCAGCCAAGAAGTAGAGAGTTTAAATCCAATTTCATTTTCCCAGTGTTTCCCAAGCCAGCTTGTAGGGGCAGATCCATGATTTTAAACAAGGGAGGTGGGGGTCCAGTGGGGGTGGTGAAGGGGCAGAAGTTTCAGGAATGTTATGATAATTCACAAGCCCCAAAAAGCACAACCACGGCAGGGTGTCCTCCAACTATTACGGACAACTTCGGGATCCCAACCCATCCCCTCCACGCTGGATACAAACTAGCAATGTAAGTTAGCTACATACCCTGTGAATTATAACTTGATGGTGTTGAAGGAGTAGGACTAGAAGACGAAGGAATACCAACACCAGCATAATTTAAAACCGATTGTAATTCTGGGTTCGGTTGATTATACATGTGAGCCATACCTGAATAACAAAATAAGAAATTGAAATAAATAGGGAATTCAAATACAATAGAAAATAGAATTCAATTACAATAGGAAATAGAATTCAAAGACAATAGAAAATAGAATTCAAAGACAATAGAATTCAAAGACAATAGAATTCAAACAAAATAGGAAATAAGACTTTAAATAAAATAGGAAATAGACTTCAAATAAAATAGGAAATAGACTTCAAATAAAATAGGAAAAAGAGTTCAAAACAAAATAGAAAATATAATTCAATTAAAATAGAAAATAGATTTCAATTAAAATAGGTAATAGAAAAACAGCAAATAGGGAATTCAAACAAAATAGGAAATAGAATTCAAATATAACAGGAAATAGAATTCAAACAAAACAGCAAATAGAATTCAAACAAAATAGGAAATAGAATTCAAAACAAAATAGGAAATAGAATTCAAACAAAATAGGAAATAGAATTCAAATAAAATAGGGAATAGAATTCAAACACAATAGGAAAAAGAATTCAAACAAAATAGAAAATAGAATTCAATTAAAATTGGAAATACAATTCTAATAAAATAGGAATAACAATTAAAAAAAAAATAGGAATAATTCTAATAAAATAACAAAATAGGAAATAGAATTCAAATAACAAAATAGATATAATTATATCCACATGAGATTGAGTAGAGAATAAAAATCGTAATTTGAGGACAACACTATTGATTAAAATTCTTCCTGATCCACGCCATTTGGGAATACAAATTTGACATGTGCTCCGAAACAATAAATCTTTAGAAACCGTATACATTTACAATGGATATGACATTTGGATAATTCTCTCTTGGGGGGAGCAAACACTTGCACAAAAAAGTACATGATCTAAATGTTTAAATTACAGGAAAATTGTTTCTAATCATGCCCAGTTTGAAAGATAGAAATGAAATGGGGTTTAACGCCCTACTCCGTCTGGGGTAATGAAGACGGGCATATGCCATACAGTGTACTACTCTTATATCGAATTCCAACTGTAAAGGAATCTTTTACGTGCAGCAAAAGAGAAATGGGTTTTAAAGTCCACTCGACACAAACTAGGTCATTTTGGGACTAACATATGGTTCAATTTTATTTCAATAATTCAATTGCGCGTAGGGGTCTTTAGCAGTGGAAGAAAGCAGGAGGACCCAGAGAAAACCCACGAGGTTGGGCAGGCGACCATACTCCTTGTCATGTACAACCGGGGAATCTAAACCACGCCAGTTGACTCAATGACAGACCTTATGATACAACGCACATACGCTAACCATTCGGCCATCCAGCCTCTGATAGCAAGGCAATGTGTCGAAACACAGGGAAAACTTGGATGTTAACCAAATCTGACATCTATCGTGTTTACAAGCTTGAAAACTTTGTTAAAGGGGCATTATACACCAGGTGACTCCTGACCTGACAGACCTTATGATACCTCTCACACACGCTAACCATTCGGCCATCCAACAGAAGATCACATTTATAAGTGAGGAACATACATTAAAGATAGGGGATCACGTGGCTAAGTGGGCAAGACGCTTAGAGAAGGCCGTAGCGCCGCTGCCCGGGCAAAATTTCAATCATTGCACACTATGGCGTATGCCCGTCTACATTAGCCCAGTTTAGGAGCAGAACAGTAGGACGTTAAACCCCATTTCATTTCATTTCATTTACATTAAAGATACATTATGGGAGATAATCGAAATCGTACCGACTTTAGTAATGATGGTCGAGGCTAGGCCGAAAATTCAATCGCTAAAATCTTGGTTCAGAGTGTATCAATTTGACTGAAATTTTCAGCAAATTCCCTTTACATTATCTTGTTTTTAACTATTATAGTGAGAACTGCCAGTTCTTTATCTAATCTCCCATAATGTATCTTTAATAATCTGTAATATAACATACCTTGAACATTATCCTCTTTAACATCAGGCATTTGTGACATGTTGAAATGTACATGTTTACTGGCTCTAGTTTGTTCTGCTCCACTGACCCTTGTGGAGGCCAGATCAAGTGTGTCTCCTAATAAGGCATTGATACGTTTTAATATATCCACATTACTCGGGTAAGCTTGAGAACCCTGATTAGAATCAACATTTTCCACTTTTATAGCAGGAATTTCTGCACTCTGAAAATATAAAAGACAAATCTCATTAAAATACAGATCTATATTCCGTTTCGGTTTTTTTATACTTTCGATGGCCTACACTACATGAAAATCTGACCAGTTATAGTGGGAGGTCGCATCAGAGGTCATACGAGTGGCTTTTGACCTTATGATGTCAGACATTGATTTATCAATCAGTATTGACGTTTCTAGTGGTTTACCCAAAATTCTGTGCACCTCACGCCAAAATACTCGCCATAACAGATCGTTTCATTGGCTAATCCCTCACATCATCCAGAACGCAGGTTACATAACTCTTTCAAATCCTAGTGTAGTAAAGACAAGTAAAACGAAATTTTATAAATATATAAAAAACGAAACGAATTAGGATCTGTGTTTTAATCAGATTGCGTGTTGTATCAATATAATATTATGCAATGGCTTTTGACCCTATGACGTCAGACATTGATTAATCAATCAGCGTTGACATTTCTAGTGCATCATACGCCGCCCAGAACCTAGTGTAGTACAGACAAGTAAAACGAAATTTTGAACTATAAAAAAACGAAACGAAATAGGATCTGTGTTTTAATCAGATTGTGAAAAGACATGTCTGTCATTGGATAATAAATCGAAGTGGCTTCAACTCTACAGATTGATTTCAGAAGAGGATGCGGGAGATATGGTCCAACACGCTTTAGATCATAAGGTCTGTCATTGAGAGAGAGAGAGAGAGAGAGAGAGAGAGAGAGAGAGATAGAAATGGAGTTTAACATCCACTCAACACAAACTAGGTCATTTTGGGACTAACAGATGGTTAAGTTTTATTTCAATAATTCGCTTGCACGCAGGGGTCTTCAGCAGTGGGAGGTAACCGGAAAAAACCCATGAGGTTGGACAGGTGACCATGTAACATACAACCAGGGATTTGCGAAACCACGCCAGTTGACTCAATGACCGGCCTTATGATACAGCGCGCACATGCTATTACCATTCGGTCATCGGCAATACTATATACTGGAAAACAACGGAAAACAACCGGAAAAGACCATTTTATACTGAATACCGGAAAACACCTGAAAACACTAAATGCCGGAAAACACACTAAATACCGGAAAATACTCTAAATAGGTAACCCGGAGACTGGCACCCTAAATAGGTAACCGGGAGCCTGGTCCTTTATGTGCCTGGGTTAGGGTTAGGGTTAGTTTCCGGTTTATAGTATAGCCCTTCTCCGGGTTACCTATATAGGGTGGTTTCCGGTATTTAGTATAACATGGTGTTTTCCAGTAGTTTTCCAGTATATAGTATGGCCCTTCGGCCATCCAACCCCCCAAGGTCTGCCATTGAATCAATGAAATGAAATGAAATGGGGTTTAACGACCTACTGTTCTGACCTAACCTGGGCTAATGAAGACAGCTATACGCCATGCAGTGTGCTATGAGGGAAATTTTGCCCGGGCAGCGGCACTACGGACTACTCTTATATAGAATTCCAACTGCCAAGGGATCTTTTACGTGCACGCCAATGTGTACATGGGACCTCTGTTTTTCATCCCATCCAAACAACTAGACAGCTGTCCTTGTCAGGTCCTCCATCCTGCATCACTGACAAGGGGAAACCACGCCGGAAAATCTGGAGGAACTTTCTCGGCCAATGCAGGGATGGACACTCGACCTTCTGTCTAGCTAGCCAGCGTCTCACCCACTTCGCCATGTGATCTCCGTCATTGAATCAAGTGGCGCGGACAGGGGGTATGCTCTACTGTTCAACCTTGTGGGTTTTCTCTGGGTCCTCCCAGTGCTAAGACTCCTATGGGGTAGTACGTTTTTCCCAAATCCACCATTATTTCAACTTATAAGACAATTTATATCGATATTTGATAATATACCTTTCTTTATGCCAAATTGACATTTTTAATTTACAATTGTAACATTTTTGTGTCAAAATGCGATTTCCAAGCAAGTTTTGTACTTGTAACCAAGGGACATAACTCAAGTATTGCACGTAATCGCTTGCTTGGAAATTTCATTTTGAAGGACATTTTTTAAACAGGAACTTTACGATTTTAAAAGAAAAATGACAATTTGGCATAAAAATGACAATTTGACATAAAAATGACAATTTGGCATAAAAATGAAATGGGGTTTAACGTCCTACTGTTTTGCTCCGAACTGGGCTAATGAAGACGGACATACCCCATACAGTGTGTTATGAGGGTAATTTTACCCAGACAACGGCACTAAGGCCTACTCTTATATCGAATTACAACTGTCAAGGCATCTTTTATGTTCACGCCAATGTGTACACGGGACCTCAGTTTTTTGTCCCATCAAAACAACTAGACTGCTGTACTTGTCACCCCTTCTGTATGTATCACTGACAAGGGGGGTGGCATATAAAACAGTATATTATCAAATATAGATATAAATTATTACTATATGAGTTAAAATAATGGTCGATTTAGGTTTATTTGGGTAAATCGTGCTACCGCCTCTATGTACAAGCGAGTTATTGAAATAAAATTGAACCATGTGTTAGTCCCAAAATGACCTAGTTTGTGTCGAGTGTATGTTAACCTCTATTAAGTGAAAGGGGAAATAACTCTGCACAAATCTAAGTGTGGACATTTGAAAAAGTTGCACCTTGTTTCGTTACATTTCATTTTTGCTAGTTTCCCCTTTTTTTAGTTCACAAACCTGGGTCCCACTAAGCAAAAATCTTTGGACATTATTTAAGTAGCTAAGTCTAACTCAACATCATCCAAAGGCTTCGACATTGAGAACGGGAATTGTTTGTCAATCTAAATCAACATTGATGTTGTGATCTTACCGGGAAAAGATGGGCTTCTGATATCCAATATTTAAGACAAAATAAACATTTTACCAATGGTACATGAATCGTGTACCAGAATGTGTTTCAGCGCCATTTGGGACTCGAAAAATGAGGCTAGATATATTCCACAAGTCATGTCAAACGGTGACCTCATTCTTATCTGGAGAGCATGCACAAATACTAATGGTGTAGATTGGAATAACCAGACACTAGAGATTGCCATTTGATTTGAGAATTACGTATTATATGCGCTGCGACCCATTCGTGCCAATTTCTAGGTCCCAAATATTAGCGATTTAGCTCCTTTAACCAATATTAAGTGAAAGGGGAAATAACTCTGCATAAAATTATGCGTGGACACCTGAAAATGTTGCACCTTATTTTGTTACATTTCATTTTTGCTAGTTCCCCATTTCCCCGGTCACAAATCTGGGTCCGGCCAAGCAAAAATCTTTGGGCATTATTAAACTGTGGTAAGGGGTTTTCCTTTGCTAGCTTATTTGGAATTTATAAAAAAAATTACAAACAATTCACAATAAGCACGTTTGAACTCTGCAGAGTGACAACCACAAAATACTAATTCAACTGAGAAAAGAGAAGCAGAATATTTCTTATTGGGCCCACACATACGGGATGTAAAATAATTGTCTTACACCGCTGGTGCTGGCTGACATTGGATTCACTATTGTTGCTGCCCAATTCGAACTTAACAATTGTTTTCAATTTGGACAGGGTTGCCTTCAGAAATTCTTTTGACGAGACAATTACATTCGACGCGACTACACCAAATGACAGACGGATCTGAAGAAGTTACATCCACTGAGACACACGGGCTTGTGATAGCTCATCCAATCAGTACCTTCTTTACAATTGGTGTACGGGGCACGCTGCACGTGCAAATAATTTACATAACAAAATGTAATCCACGCGCGAATACCAATTTTAAAGTGAAAGTTTGAAGTTTATTATTTCAAATTAATTTCTCCATTTTGTCAGAAATCTGAAATAGTTGATTATAAAATCAATATTTCCAGCCATGACAACATTTCTCTCTGAATGTGAATCGTTATAGTCTCCCGTTAGATAAGAGAGCATAGCTAAAAACGTTGAGAGATGAGATTTCTTATCTATATAGTCTCCCGTGTGTTTGTTTACAGATGAAACACGCACGATCAGCATTTCTCTAAAGTAAATCGAAGACACGGTTTCGGAACTCAATTTCGCTAGCCTGGAGGTCGGGTGTTCGATCCCTGCATTGGCCGAGAAAGTTCATCCAGATTTTCCGGCGTGGTTCTCCCTTGTCAGTGATGCAGGACGGAGGGGCTGACAAGGAAAGCTGTCTAGTCGTTCGGATGGGACGAAAAACCGAGGTCCCGTGTACACATTGGCGTGCACGTAAAAGATCCCTTGGCAGTTGGAATTCGATATAAGAGTAGGCCGTAGTGCCGCTGTCCGGGCAAAATTTCCCTCATAGCACACTGTATGGCGTATGCCCGTCTTCATTAGCCCAGGTCAGGAGCAGAACAGTAGGACGTTAAACCCCATTTCATTTCATTTCATTTCATTTTATTGGATTTGTGAGATGAATTCTCTCCGAGTTAGATCCGTTTCCATGTCCTTGTTTTTGTGACGTTCCCACGTGCGTTTTCACCAGGGAAAAAGTCGGTCCATAGAGCCATATATACTGAGCGCGAATTACGCTCGCGACCACGAACTGCGATTTTCCGCGCGAATCATCGTTTGTGCTGAAAGCGACAACACGCACGAAAATTAGCAGAGTTCGCGGTTGCGCTCTTCTGTCTTGTCACCTGGAGTCACCTGCCACAGATACGTCACTTTTGACCTCGCAACTATGATTGGCTAATGAAATTCGCTATGGAGGCAATCTCTGCAGGGTACGAAAACCGAGATTCATTGTACACATATGGGTGAGCCTGTAAAATATTCCGTGGCTATTGCAATTCGAAATACGAGTAGGCCGCAGTGTCGCTATCCGAGAAAAATTTCACACATAGTGTATGCTCATCTTCATCATCCCATTAAATCCCATTTCATTTATAACATCTTTGGGTGCACGTGACAAGGAGTAGGGTCGCTTGTCCAACCTCGTGGGTTTTCTCCGGGTCCTCCGGTTTCCTCCTACTGCTAAAGAACCCTACGCGCAAGCGAATTGTTGAAATAAAATTGAACCATGTGTTAGTCCCGAAATGACCTGGTTTGTGTTGTGTCGAGTGGACGTTAAACCCCATCTCTCTCTCTCTCTCTCTCTCTCATATTACATTATTATATGCGTTGCGACCCAATTGTGTCAATTTCTAGGTCCCAAATATTAGCGATTTAGCTCCTTTAACGCCCCACTTTATGCAAAGGGATGGAATACGGGACCCCAGATTACCGAACCAACGTTATACCCATTGAGAATCCGCGGCTCCACGAAGATACTATTACAGATACACACTTTTATGATATAACCATAATTAATTTTCCTAATGTCAGACCTATTTTCTATTTGGCTCCTATATTCAAGATTTTGTAATAAAATTATTATATAATTATAATTAAGAGGGATAAATAACGTTATATATAAATTCATGGTTTATTAGTCTTTAGATTGGTAATATGGAACAGACGGGTATAATTACAGAATCTGAACATGACAATACAGGGGCGGATCCGGGGGGGGGGGGGCTGCTACGTAAAAATAAAAATAATTGTAAAACGGGATCTCCGTGTTAACGGTCCAATGTCCTACTCACTGAACCACCATGGCTCCTAGTTTGTGTCGTTAAACTCAAACGTTTTTCTCGGCGGGTTGGATGGCCGACAATATGATTAAAGGGACAATAACACTCTTGCTGGCTTGACAGCTCCAGAAAATAAAAAAATAGCCTTATTCTAAGTACTTGATGTGTTAGTGTCTTACCTGTTGTGTAAATTATCCATTAAATCCTATTTTACTTGTCTAGAGGGTTCAAAAATATTTTAAAATCCAAGTCACATTTGAAAAGCTTTACGTAAAATAGTACAATTTGTTGACCAGAATAAAGATTGGGACATATTATTCAGTTATAACAAGAGTGGTATTGAGCCTTTAAAACACAGATCTTATTTCGTTTCGTTTTTATAGGTCAAAATTTCGTTTTACTTGTCTTAAATACACTAGGATCTGGAAGAGTTATTACATTACCGGTGTCTTGGTTGAAGTGAGGGATTTGCCAATGAAACCGTCTGTTTTTGGCGTGAGGTGCACGGAGCTATGGGTAAACCACTAGAAAGGTCAACGCTGATTGATTAATCAATGCCTGACGTCATAGGGTCAAAAGCCGCCCGTACGACCCCTGACACGACCTTCCAGTACAACTTGTCAGATGTTCATGTTGTGTAGGCTATCGAAAGTATAAAAAAAGGAAACGAAATATAGATCTATATTTTAATCAAACTGGCACTTTTTTGTCTGCGATATCACCTCGGTGGAAGCGGACGTTAAATAAAGCTATTTCACACACACACACACACACACACACACGCAGAACTTTTTTATGAGAAAAGTGTAACGGCTGTGTGCTGGGACGGTGGGATGGGATGGGCATCAAAGCACGAGATAATGATACTGACACATGTGATATCACAATGAATGCTTTGCATCAATGAAATTGAATCACAATATTATCCTATTAATTCATAATAAAAATTGACGACAAACGGGGTGTTTGATTTCTCTTTTTTACCTAATTTTGAGACAATGATGGCATCATGCATTGTCAACTGTCAAAGTTCCTTTACAGGAACTTTGCAAACCCCCTCTTGCAAAAATTCCTGGATCCGCCCCTGTCAATGCCTGACGTGACATACTCGAGTTTTTCCTTCTTTATTAAACATTGCGCCGACATTTTATATGTTACACTATTAAGTGACGGCTGTATCTATAATGGGGACGAGGAAATTGAAACGATAGAGCATACAAAACTGGTTAATTAATCTAGGTTTTACGGTTGCTTCGGTGATTTATTTGAATTTGTCTGAAACTAGACTGACACATCGGGTCACTGTCTGATATTTCTTTACACAAATAATTTCCTAACGAGTCATAATAAAATCAATAACTGCAGATATAGGCTACTCTTATCCATGGGTGGACGGTGTAACTCTTGGCCCTCGGGCCAAATGAGAGAGAGAGAAATGGAGTTTAACGTCCACTTGACACAAACTAGGTCATTTCGGGACTAACATATAGTTTAATTTTATTTCCATAATTCGCTTGCGCGTAGGGGTCTTTAGCAGTGGGAGAAAGCCGGAGGACCCGGAGAAAACCCACGAGGTTGGACAGGCGACCCTACTCCTTGTCACGTACAACCGGGGATTCGAAGCCACGCCAGTTGACTCAATGACAGGTCGTATGATACAGCACGCACGTGCTAACCATTAAAGATTACTGCTCCGCGGCGCTATTACATTTTGTATAAATGGCAGATGCGCAATAAACAAAAATGAATTATACAGAGACAATATCGGAAAATTTAAACATACATTATGTAAGATTTAGATAAAGAGTTAGCCATTCTTGCTATCATAGTTCCGACATAAATGTAAAATGAATAATTTGAAAATTTCATCCAAATTATATTGGCCTTTGAAGGTGTCACAAGACGTGCACAATAATTTCAACCACTGTACTGGTTGTTCGAAGCTAAGTCTCGCTTCTCCATTTTTAAATTAAATCAAAATATGGCTGAACTGTTCTAATCTATTTAATATCGGAGAAATCCGATGCCATTGCGAGTTGATTAATGTCTAATTAATAATTCAGATAACATTTCAGACCCAGAGAAAGACCTGCAAATAGGCAGATTGGGCTCTTGCATAATGTATGTTTAAGAAATGACAGCGCAAGCACTATATAAAACTTAGCTTAAAAAGTTCATGACGAGAAATAGAAACTAGCATGATTCACCTTTCCCGCACTTTATTCATGGATCATTTTTCTCTTCGGATTTAGGCCATCGAAAAGTAAGAAGTTGACGCGCTAATACGGAGGTTCCATGTTCGACCCCTGTGTTCATCGGGATTATCCGCCCCGCCCCCCCCTCCCCCCGCAACCTGTCAGTGGCGTAGGAGATTCTGTGTACACATTGGAATTCGATATAAGAGTAAACCGTAACGCCGCTGTCCGGACAAAATTTCCCCCATAGTACACCGTATGGCATATTCCCTCCTTCATTAGCCCAGTCGGAGCAGAACAATAGGACTTTAAACCCCATTTCATTTCATTTTTATTGGAATACTTATCGGAACAGGGGGTTGGATGGCCGAATGGTTAGTGTGCGCGCTGTATTATAAGGTCTGTCATTGAGTCAACTGACGGGGTTTCGATTCCTTGGTTGTACAAGGAGTAGGGTCGTCTGTCCAACCTTGTGGGTTTTCTCCGAGTCCCCCGGTTTCCCCCCACTGCTAATTAAAATTTGAATAGATATTAGTCCCGAAATGACCTAGTTTGTGTCGATCTCTCTCTCTCTCTCTCTCTCTCATCGGAAAAGAAACTGGTTGTACGAAGATTAGAGTAGACGAGATTATTATTGCCGTGTTAAATAACAACAATTTCCTGTCCAGACGTATTTGTTTTATACTAATATTAATCACGTTATAGAGCTTTTATCGATTTGAATAGATAACTTAGAGCAGAAGGTCACAATATGGCAACAATTAGGTCAAACTAGGTCATTTCGGGACTGAAGAGAGTTTATCGTCCACTCGACACAAACTATGTCATTTCGGGACTGGAGAGAGTTTATCGTCCACTCGACACAAACTAGCTCATTTCGGGACTGGAGAGAGTTTATCGTCCACTCGACACAAACT